CCAGTTCACTGTTAGGTAAACTGAATCCTTTTATTATGTACTTTTAATTATGACAAATGTCCCCAACAGGACATTAACGTATCTATCTATCTATCTATCTATCTATCTGTCTATCTGTCTGTCTGTCTGTCTGTCTGTCTGTCTGTCTGTCTGTCTCAGGGTGTCTTCTGAGCTTATTGATTCCATTGCCACTGCTGATGGATTTTTCTTGCAGAGGAGGCATCTCAGTTTGGGACAGAAAACCTCCTCTTTCTCCATAAAAAGCCGTAAGCTAGAAACCCTTCACTTTACAGTGGGACCTTAGTTTGTTTGGTCAGCTCATGTTCAGTCATCACACTCACAGCTGACATGTCTCAGTGTTCCTTTGAGCTCTGTTTACACTGTCAAATCTTTCCACTGCATGCTCTGACAGTCAGTTTTTCTGACTGCTGTGTATTTGTAAAATGTGTGAGAAAGCGTGTATTATCAAGAGAACAGGCATACGGCTATTCTGTCACCAGATTTAGCTGTGGCATGGCTCCTCATTTAACCGCAGTTTACTTACTGTGATTACAGTAATAACTTGTGTTTTTTGTTTTGATGTTTGAAAACAAGGTAAAATCTCAGTAAAACAATAGAACTGAATAAATCTTGTTGTGCCTTTTGCTCATCACTAGGGCTGTGTATCACTTCCTCTCACCTCTCAGTACATGGCCAAATCAATAGAGAAATTGACAATGATGCAGTGCAGTTCAGAGCAACCTCAATTTGACTGAGCTGGGTGCATTCATAGGCTGCTGAAATTATCACAGGGCTGAAATTCTGATTCAGCAATGCTATGTGCTAACAAGAAGTGTTAGTAAATCTCAGACCTATTGCACCTCTAGCAACAAACACCTCCTTTGTAAACAGCTGTGGCTAAGCTTGGCTGGAGAAAGCTATTGGCAAGCAAACTGGGAAGCGAAGTGGCTGGCAAGTTTATTCTCACTCATCCACATTTGTGAAATAAACACAGGAAAGGAGGGGTTAGCATGCTTCTGCACTGTGTGACTAATATAGTCTGCAAGGCAACTGACCAGACTATTAATATGTCATGGTTTCTAAACACTGGAGAGGAGAGGAATTGGATAGGAACCAATGAAGCCTAAAAGAAGCATCTTAAAGTCTGAGTGCTAATCTAGAAAGTTCTGCAAAGTGCATGAAATGTGAATCTTGTCCATTTTCTGGCCAAAGAAAGTGTCTCTTTGGCCAGAAAATGTAGAACATTCACACAGTGAGCATCTTCTGTGAAGGTATTTGAAAAGCTTCCCTTTGAGAATTTGTCAGTACCTGAGCAAACTGGCTCCAGTCACTGCTAAACCATATTGCCATGGTTGTTTATAGCACTGTATATCCAGGAGGTAAAGCAATTGTTTCCCTAATATGAGGTGATTTTCCTCTGCTCCTGCTTGAACCTTTTACTCAACCCAGAGGGCAATTAGGGCTTGTTTATTGGCTGTAACAGAGGAAATGGCTCTATAATTCCCTCCCGTCACTGGAGCCCCTTCCACCCAGGGGATTTCTGAAAATGCATTTATGAAATGTGAAAATGTTGAAATAATTTATGAAATGTAAAAACAACAAATATCAAACAAGCTCCTCTTTTTTTCCTACTTTTAGAAAAATTAAATCCCCGACCCCACCCTCTGCCACTTTTGTCCTCACTGTGAATAACAGTTTAATGCATGGAGTGACTCACAATGTTTGTTTGGTATTTGTGTTGCTTTGTTTCCTACACTGAAATGACCACTTATGGGCAATTAGTCATGCTGAGTATGCAGAGACTTCACCTCCATGTTTAGCTAAAACAGTGTGAGCCACTGCAGACTGAACAAGTCACCGGTACTGAGAGGAGAGAACTACGTTGCTCATCTTTGTACTGTGAGACAGACAGCAGAAGGCTTAACTCACATTATCATTGGATCATAAGAAAG